CCAGGGTCTGGGATCAAGTCCCACATCAAGATTCCTGCAAGGAACCTGCTTCTCCCTCTGCCTGTGTCTCTGCCTCTCTCTCTCTCTTTATCTCATGAATAAATAAATAAAATCTTTAAAAAAAAGACCTGAGCTGACTTCAGGAGTCAGATGCCTAGCTGACTTAGCCACCCAGGCACCCCTACAGAAGAGATTTTTGAACTTTCTTATATTTTAGTGTCTACCTGATGAGATTCAGTAAAAGAATTTAGTTTGCTAAATCAGTACCTTCATTGCAGAGTTCATACAGGTAAGAAATATAAACATGCATAGTTATATATCAGTTTTTCTTCATTTTATAGGTGTTCAGCAGATGAATCCCCCTAAGGAACTTCCTATTATTGGCTTCTATTTCATACGGACCCAGAGAAACCCACCAAAACTACTCCAAGCTTAACAATGCGTAACTCATGAGCTCCATGTGCCTTTTGGATATTTGCAACATTGAAGATTTGGAAGAAGCTCTTCAACTATTTTGTGATGGTGTTTATCATTTTATATTTTAAAGAGATTATTTTATAAGGAATAACTTTTAAATACTATAGTTTCACCTGTATTCTACTAAATGTCGAGATACAGTTTTGCTTTTAGGTATCATTATTACTTAAGTTACTGGGATGAATACCTTTCATATTTTGATCTCTAGTTAACTGTACACTCATCAAACATACAGGTTTTTCAAAATCATCCTAAATAGTCAACGTTTGTAAATCATTAAGCCTCAAACATTTTTTTTTAAAGAAAACACAAGCATATCCTAAAAATGACTATTGGTGGGGAGGGGAAACAAGTCATACCTTCTTAAACAGAAGTTTTTAATAAGCTCTTTGAAATGAAACCTGAAAAGTATTGACTCCTTCTACCAAGTTGGGATGATCTTCCAGGCAGCTCAAGGACAATCCCATTTGAGAGCCCTGTGTTTGAAGCATTTATAGGCAACATGTAGCAACAGTTACCTCTTGGTGTGCAGTATTTACCTTCTCTTGCAGAAGAGGCAGTTAACCCTTATTTAATATGGTTGGAAATTTAAAGCAATACTAATTAGCCAAGGATGGGTTTTTGGCAATACTGGAGGAATTTGTCAGGCTTCGTTTTTAAGATCTTCAACTCATATTGCACATTATAGCTTGGATTTGGGGAGCTTAAGTAAAAACTGATAACCATGTGATTAAATACCTGATCAACAGGTATGAATATAACTTGCACCAGCATATTTTCCTCATGGTAGTGAAATGTCCTATAAACTATTTATACATTTTGGTTCTTCATAATTATCCAGTACATAAACATCATTTGTTCATTTTTGAAAGGGTATTTAAATAAGAATTTTCTAGTTCATATGAAAATAACCATAGTACAGGATGATCTGTGTCCGTACAAAGTTAAGGTAGACTGTACAGTTAATTTTCAGTCATATTTATGGTACTGTTACATGGGTAATATCTTTTTTCTTTTTAAGCCCAGTATATATATTATGCCTGCCTAAGTTCTGAACTGGGGCTATATTTCAGTAGTTCTAGAATTATTGATATTAATTTGTTTTGGTAGTTAATGTTTGTTGTTTGGATCTACACAGTTTAATTTTTTGCACAGAAGTAATTTCTTAAAAGTCTGAATAATTGCCAAATATTAGAAAAAAGGTGTTCTTCGAGTTAAGAATACAGTTTTTTGTCAAAGTGGCCATTACCTCCTCTTCTTCTGTAATAATACAGACACTTGAATAAGTCGTGGTCATGTCATATATGCCAAGAAAGTTCTTTTCATCAGTGCCTATACTGTAACAATTACTTTTAATGCATTGTATTTTGAAGGAATGGTTCAGTTGAAATTTTCACCTGCCACGTGACTGAAACGCAATTCCACTTTATAATCTGTAGAGGCCTAGAAATAATTTTGCAACTCATATCATGGGTTGGATGAATATTTTTGTAAAAGCAAAAGCAACAAGTTTATAAATGGATTATTTGAAACTTTACAACACAGTTGCGTCATGAATAGGAATTAATATTGCTTATTCATTAGAGTTATAGTCCTGTAAACTGTTTCTAGGTGAAGCATACTCCAGTGTTGTGAAGGGTTTAAAAATAAATATTTAAATTTCATGGTCCTCAGTGTTCGTTTTCTTGAGCCGGGGGTATGGTGCAGGGTTTTAATTGTTTCACATTTTGTCTCCTCTGCCCTCTAATTTGTTGTTGGAACTTTAATACCAGTGTCTCCATTGGAAAGTAAAAGATGTTCTTCAGATTTAAACATTGATTATACATACAGTGCATATATGTCCCCCTGTCCTGACAAAATTATTTGATAGAATTCCCTTTCACTCAGAAATGCCCTAGGTTGGACAATATGTTGTGTGGTCACCCTAACTATAGTTTTATTGGGAAATTGTATACAGATTTGAACCCTATAGTTCTTTGGGGAGAACAAATTTCACAAAGACTTCCAGAAGTTGAGATGAGAAATAGCATATAAGCCCAAACGGAGATGCCTGGGTGGCTCAGCAGTTTAGTACTTGCCTTCAACCCAGGGCGTGATCCTGGAGTCCCACTGAGTACTGAGTACTGAGTCTCACATCAGCCTCCCTGCATGGAGCCTGCTTCTCCCTCTGCCTGTCTCTGCCTCTCTCTCTCTCTCTCTCTCTCTCTCTCTCTCTGTCTCTCATGAATAAATAAATAAAATCTTAAAAAAAAAGCCCAAACGAATTTGAGTTCTTCCTTAAAAAAAGGCTGAAGATGAACTTGGTATAGCTCTGAGGATCTATAGGATTAACATACAGGTGACTGGGCTTCAATATATTCTTATTATTAAATTGCTTTTCTACATTTGTGTGACTGGATAAGATTCCTGGAGCAGTGAAGAATTGCTAGAATGGGGATCCCTGGGTGGCGCAGCGGATTGGCGCCTGCCTTTGGCCCAGGGCGTGATCCTGGAGACCCCGGATTGGATCCCACGTCGGGCTCCCGGTGCATGGAGCCTGCTTCTCCCTCTGCCTGTGTCTCTGCCTCTGTGTGTGTGTGTGTGTGTGTGTGTGTGTGACTATCATAAATAAATAAAAATTAAAAAAAAAGAATTGCTAGAATGTGGGAAAGGGCTAGGGAGAGGTATATTAAAAGGAATTTTTCTGTTAGGACTAGAAGAATAAGAACATGACACAGACATATATATATATATATTGTTTTGTTTTGTTTTGTTTTGTTTCTTATGGGGCACCTGGGTGGCTCAGTCAGTTAAGCAAGCATCTGCCTTCTGCTCAGGTCATGATCCCAGAGTCCTAGGATCAAGCCCTTCATGGGGCTCCCTGCTCAGTGAGGAGTCTGCTTCTCCCTCCCCCTCTCTCTCCCTGCTGGTACTCTCTCACTCTAATATAAATAAATCATTTCAAAAAATAGCTTTCTTATTGCATCATTTCTTTGAAGTTAGTACCTAACATTATCTTGTAAAAATGTTGTACTTAACATTGAAATCAATAAACAAAGTGCTCAAGTGGAATATTATACCTTCCAGGGGGAATAGTAGGAAAATTCTGAATCTGAATGGGTCAAGAATAGAATCATACTTCATGAACTCAGTCTGGTTTTAGCACTATCCTTTTGCTCATTAGCTACCCCACAATTCTACCACTTCTCCCTCCCTGACTCTCCATTTTCATCAGCCTTCTTCCTTTTTCTTTCTTTTTTTCAATAAGATTTTATTATTTATTCATAAGAGACAGAGAGTGGCAGAGACACAGGCAGAGGGAGAAGCAGGCTTCCTGCAGGGAGCCTGATATGGGAATCAATCCCAGAACCCCAGGATCATGCCCTGAGCCGAAGGCAGGCACTCAACCGCTGAACCACCCAGGCATCCCCCTCCTTCCTTTTTCTTACTAACTGTCCCTTCCCTTAGTAATAGACCAGAACCAATCATTTCTGAAATTGACTAAAACAAAATGAAGATCATACTTGCAACTTTTCTTTAAAAAATGGATTTCCATCACTTTTTTTAAAAAAGAATTTATTTATTCATGAGAGACATAGAGGCAGAGACACAGGCAGAGGGAGAAGCAGGCTCCCTGCAGGGGGCCCAATGTGGGACTTAGTCCCAGGACCCCGGGATCATGCCCTGAGCCAAAGGCATATGCACTCAACCACTGAGCCACGCAGGTGTCCCTCCATAACTCTTTATCAAAATACTATTCATCTCATCTCCTTTCCTACATACATGCAACAAGATATGGGGGAAAAAGTCTTACAGGAGAAAGTAGATAAACTAATAAGTTAACTTCTGTCACTACAAACATACATAGTTAAGAGTAGAGAAGTAATAGGTCAAACATATCTTCATCAGGCATATATCCTAGCATAAGAAATTGATTAATTCACGAATTTCCAGGGTTCAGAATTCTTCCAAGTCCTAGATGCATTATAAACTTGTATTCTGATGAGAGGATCTATGCCACCATCTCCTTCCTGAGGTACAGGAGGGCCATGCTCCCCCTAATATATGTTATAAAAATTGAAGTATTTAACACACGACAGGGCCATTTTTACTGGAACCTTTAGTCACAGTATGATTTAAAAACAAAATGACCAACACAGTCACAATCTAAATCACTAAAGGACATCAGAGGCCAGTGTCATGCCAACTCATACTGTTACCATTATTCAGTGTTCCAGAGCCTGAAGTTCATGGTTAATGTCTCTGTAGGAAAAGTATAATGGAGATGACAAATAGCCACCTTGCCCCACCACAGTGCTTTTGAGAAGAGGGTATGTTCCAGAGTCTCTTCAGAGGAAACTGAAGAGGGGAGTTTGAGGAACAAGGCAGCAGCTGGATCTTTCATAAGCTAGGTGCCCAAACGTAGGAGGTCCCCTTAATACCAATGAACAGTAACTAAGAAAATTATTTGTGCCCAAGATTCCTTCTTTTTTATCCAAGTTAGCAACATGGTACTGGCCCAGAAATGTTCAGAGTTCACATTTTTAAGCTACAAAGTAATTACATGGTTTTAGCAAAGTCCTGTCTTCAGCAGTTGGTGTATTGAAAGAAACACCTTCATCCTCTTCATCGAGCTGTAGGCTGCCAGAAGATAAGCGGATTCTGGCCATGGGCGACCGTGTTCCTTTGCCATACAAAGAGTAGTAGTCTGGTTTAAGAATTTCTGATTCTGAATCACTGGATTCACTACCTATGTACCTTTCTGCTGCTCCCTGATCCGTTAAAACTGTTGGAAACCCCTGCTCTGCAAACATATATGTAAAAAGGTCAGCTTTACGACTCAGAGTAGGACAAGGTCCTAAAGGTCTATATTCAGACCCAAAAGGAAAACGGATAGTTTTCATGTCTGATTGGCTCTGGGATCGTTTTGGGGTTTGCTCTTGAATGCTATATGCAAATGCATCTTCTGAATTTGGCTCCTCCACCTCCAGATCTACGTTGATGTTGCTCTTACCAGTAGTCCTGGCCATGGCTTCTCGGAGTTCTTGAAAGTCTTGTTGGAAGCTCTTCATTCTGACATTCCTTGGGCTTCTTTTGGCTGTCTTCATTGTAGTGGACTCCAAACAGCTGTCTGGCCTGTCATTTTCCTCTGCCATGATTGGAGACCGTCTGGGCACCTGGGGTGGTCTGTCCACATAAAAAAAGACTTGAGGAGGCATAATGTCGACCTGCTGACCAGTACAAGGGATATAGGGCACATCTGTGTACGTTAGCTGCCTTGCTGGACTCACTTTGCTTGCAAGGCCAGAAGACGTGCTCATGAGATTGTCAGCAAACTTAGAGCTGGGTTGGAAGGAGCTCAGAGGACTCCTTTCCCCAAAGTAGTCTCTGGGATCCGGGTCAGTACTAAAGACAGGGTCTGTATAAATAAAAGGGAAAGAGGAACTGCTCTGGGACTGATGTAACAGTGTCGGATCCACCTCTGGTTTGGAACACTCCAGCTCAGCGGCAAATGTCACCTCCACCGCTGAGTTTCTCCTCCTGCTGTCAAGCACTGGCTCTGACGCGTGCACTCCATTCACATTTCGGTAGTACCCACCGCCATATGCTAGCCTCAAATCTTCCACCTTGGGAGAGAGGACATGTTAGTGAAAGAAAAGAAAAGCCATTTGGTTGGGGTGGGGGCAGGGATCTAAACTAGCCTTCAATTTCACAAGGGTATTTTTCACAAGGTCATTTCTACCCATGTTCTATTGATGAATATATACAGAGGAGGAAATAACATGTACCATATCTCAATCCATGTGCTAAAAAAATGCACATGACAGTCTCCTTTCTCACTGCCATTCCACTCCCTGCCTCTGAGTTCTCCAGGTACTTCGGCCAGCATGGTATCTCAAGCAGTGTGGTTTAGTAGCTCATTTATAAATAAGCCGGGGGGGGGGGGGTCTCCCTTCTGGTTCTGGCTCTGTCATGTGACCTAACCTCCCTGCATAAAATGGTGGGCTAAGAGTGGCATGGGAGGGTCATATGTTAGATGGTTAACTTCCAGCATTATATTTCCGTAATGCCTTTGAGATTAAAACTGCCTATGATTTGAAGACATGAGAGTTTGTGAGAACTATAATTATTTTTTTAGAAAGAACAAAAGAAAAATAATTTACATGGTTAATGCTATAAAACTTAAATGAAGCCATCATCTCAGTTTCAGGAGAATGTCCCTTTGTTCTTAAATTAAGTGACAAAATTACACAGCAAGAGTACTTTAAAACGTTAACCCAAGACCTCAGAGCTTCCTCAGAGCCTTAGCATTTTTAATTAGGTAAAAAAGAAGAGCTTTTAGTTTCAAAAATACAAAGCCACAGAAATACATTGGGATCCACATTTTTGCACGATGTTAGCAATCCAAATTGCAGTTTAAAGATATGCCAGATCCTTTCAATCCATAAGGTACACACCAGTGGTAATTTATTAAATGGTTTCTATTGGCTGGGAAGACTAGCTGACAGACCTCCTGAGGAGGCTAGCCTACTCAAACAGAGCTGCCTTTTGCACACCGGGGAGATTCTGGCAGAATCAATTCCTAAAAGCATTTGACATGTAGATGCATTACATCTATCTAAAGAAGAAGGGATTTTCAGAAACCTTACTTGTTTTGACACATCAGAGAGGAGGTCCGGTGAGGACCTGCACTGTCGTTCATGGTACTGAGATGGGTAATGTTTCCTGAAATCCCCAAAGAGAGAAGGAATTGAAATGGTCTTCAGGCACATACAGAATACATAGAATCTCTACATTCAGCTTAAAATCAACATGACAAAGAGAGAGAGAGAGAAAAGCATATACCTTTCAAATGGTAAGCTCCTCAACCTCCCTTTCTTTCCATATTCCAAAAGCTGCCGTTGGGTTCTTCCGCTATGAAAAAGAATGAGTTCAACATCTTATTAACATCACTCATAATCCAGTAGGCTACTCAACCTCCAAAGCATCATCTACTGTTTTTTTAAGAATTTATTTATTTATTCATAGGAGAGACACAGAGAGAGAGAGGCAGAGACACAGGCAGAGGGAGAAGCAGGGTTCACACAGGAAGCCCGAGGTGAGACTCGATCCTAGGACCCCAGGATCATGCCCTGGGCCGAGGGCAGGCTCTAAACCGCCAAGCCACACAGGCTGCCCAATCTACTGTTGAAGTCAAGAGTCTGCGTGAATGACATAGGCCATGAATCTTTGGCCATCACAGGAACCGTACCACCTGCTCTTCGAAGTATCAGGCCTAGAGCAACCTCAAATACTCAGAACCCAGATGATTTTTAAAAGCTTCGAAACAGGACTCATCACAGTTAAAATTCTGGCCTTGAGGGATGCCTGGGTGGCTCAGTGGTTGAGCGTCTGCCTTTGACTCAGGGCCTAATCCCGGAGTCCCTGGATTGAGTCCCACATCAGGCTCCCTGCATGGAGCCTGCTTTTCCCTCTGCCTATGTCTCTGCCTCTCTTTGCGTCTCTCATGGATAAGTAAATAAAATCTTAAAAAAAAATTCTGGCCTTGAAAACAAATTGACTTCCCTATAAAGGCCTCTTCCCTACCTGCAACTTTATACACAATTTCTAATAAGGCTATTTATCTGGTTTCCCAGTTCCTGTCAGAAGAAAAACAGCTAATGAAACAGTAGAAGATGTTTGCTCCAGCCAGACATATGCCAGCAGAGAAAACCAGCTGATGGCTGAGAGGAACACAGGAGCCAAAAAAGAAATCACACACAAAAATAAAACCCCCAAAGTGTGAGCCATTTATCACTGGGGTGCAGGGACTGACACCCCCCACACCCTGAGGCCATCCCTGTACTACAGCTGCCTGCAGAGGATAATAAGTGATGTTTATAATAACTCAGATCATTGAGAAAAGGGCAAAGTATGCTCAGTATCATCTGTTCAAGAAGGCGGGGATTTGTAAAATCCATTTTGGAAAGATTCCATCAAAAATATGTATGTTTTTAAGATCTCAGGTCTTACTGAGGTGGGCTTCCACTATTTGAAAATCCCCTGTGGGAAACATTCTATTAGAAGGTTTTTGTTTTTTGTTTTGTTTTGTTTTTTAATCTTAGCTAAGAGTTTTGAAAGCTTATTCCAAAGAATTCCTAGGCTGGTGTGTTTGAGTAAAAACGAGATCTTGTTTTGACCTTGCTTCCATTCCTCTAAAGTGTTGGCTGCCGTGAGGAGCCTCTGCCGTCATATTGCTCAGTGTTCTGTCTCCCTTAGCTCCTCCAGAGCTTTCTCCCCACCTTTCGCCCAACCACCACCAAATGGATGTTGTTGAGTTTTCCTTTCCGTGGCTTGCATGTAAGTTGTGATATACGGAAAAGAATAGGTTCATTAAAATACATCTTCTCAAATAGCGCAAGTCCCCCCGCCCCATGCTTGCCAATATTCTAATCTAGCCCCTTAACTAGAGGGTGCTTCCCTCCTCCCGTATCCCAGTAAGGAACTATTGACCTAAAGTGTCACACAGAGAAGGAGTAATAAAGGTGACTACCCTTAAAGGGTTATTGGATTATTGCTTCTAGAACTCAACTCTTCCCTATTGCATTCCACATTGCTGAAAAGAAGTTGTGTGTATAGTCTGCATATGTGCGATACTTCATTACCTATAGCGGAAACTGGAACCCTTGCTGCACAGTAGTGTTTTGGGCTTTGATTTGGGCTCTTCAGAAAGTCTGAAGAAAGCATGGTACTCCACACAGGTCTTCCAGAAAGCCTTGCAGGCATCTCGGCTGGCCATGGTGAACTCCAAGGTGTCCTTGCACAACACCTGTGTAAACCAATTTCCATCAAGCCAAACATCCTTAGAGAATACCAAAGAACTTCGAATCCCAATGCTTTCCAAACTATTGGTCCAGGGGCCCATGCAGCTTCCGATTTTCCACTTGGCTCCCTACAGTCTTCACACCTACTAAAACCAAACCATTGGCAACCTTCCGAGGAACAGACAGGGCCACTGCTCAAAAACGGAGCATTCTCTGAGAAGCCAATCTTGGTCTGCAGCTCCTGCACCTCAAACGCTTTTTTTACCCCCTCTTCTCTGCCAGGAACATTTTTATGAAGTTGTAAATTAGGTTAAAATGAACATCAAAGGGCATCCTTTCAAAGTGAGGAGAAGTTATAAATGACCAACAGGAAACAGGGGGAGGGGCAGGAGACGATTTCCTTACAGATGGTAGGCTTTATAGGATAATTACCCATATAGGAGTTTTTTTTAACATACCAGCTAGAAACACTTCATCCTCCCTATCCTGCCTTGTTCTATGACGCTCTGTATTGCTCATTTAGCATATTCTAATCTTCTCTAGGGGAGCTTACCCTTCCAGACCTAAAGTTCAAATTTTTCCATCCCCCTACCCACTACATTACCCCCATTTGCCCATGCATGCATGCAGCCCTGTTTTCTGCTGACTGCCCCCCCACATCCCTCATTCCAGGTTCCTGCATGCAGCCCTGGGCCATTCCATGAGCTTCACTAGATACAGTCTCCTGGACTGCTCAAATGAACACATTTAAAAAATATATTTTATTTGGGATGCCTGGGTGGCTCAGCAGTTGAGTGTCTGCTTTCAGCTCAGGTCGTATCCCAGGGTCCTGGGATCGAGTCCCACATCAGGCTCCCTGCATGGAGCCTGCTTCTCCCTCTGCCTATGTCTCTGACTCTGTCTCTCTGTCTCTCATAAATAAATATAATAAATATATAATAAATATAAATATAAAAGTTAAAAATATATAAATTAATAAATATAATAAATTATAAATATAAATAAATGTTTTAAAATATAAGAAATATAATAAAAACCAGTTGTGACTTGGTGGGAATTGCACACATGCACAAGCAAATAGAAGTGCTGTTCCCTCTGCTAAGTCCCACCAGGAAACCCAGTTAAACTGTGCTTCCCTCCTGGGTTTATTGCTGAGCCTATGGACTCCTTGGAAAGGGCCTTGCTTGACTTCCTACTTATTCTTTGTTCTTTGATGTGTCTAACTGCACCTTGCACTCCACCAGATGCTAAAAGACCAGACTGCCTGCAGAGAGGGCTCCATTTGAGAATGAACTGCTGCTACCTGGTAATCAGCCTCTTACCACTTTTAATATTTATTTATTTTTATTTTTTTAAATTTACTCATGAGAGACACAGAGAGAGGCAGAGACATAGGCAGAGGGAGAAACAGGCTCCCTGCAGGGAGCTCAATGTGGGACTCAGTCCCAGGACCCCGGGATCATGACCTGAGCCAAAGGCAGATGCTCAACCACTGAGCCACCTGAGTGTCCAATCAAATGAACGCTTTTATGTAAGACTAGGATCCAGAGAATGAAGCCCAATCTACTGAATATCCCGTAGGTCGAAAAATGAAAACATTTTTCACTTCCTTAATAGTCACAAAAAACATCTTTTCTAGCACCTTTGTCTTACTCTGTACAATGCAGCCTTGACCAGTAATAGATGCTTTCGCTTGATCTACATCCACACTCCCCCACATCCTGCTTTGGCAAATAGGTGTTCAATTATTTGGTATGTACTCCATGTTGAGTTATTTTTGTTTAAGGAAAGGAGATGAAAATATAAAATGGGGCAGATCACATCAAATAAATATATCCATAGTCCTAGATCTGGTCACTTCCATTTGACTTATCAAATCCCTGTGGTGGGGAGGTGGTTTTTAAGGAGACTTGTCTTTCATTTCAGCCACCCCATTTTCCTACTAGTTTATTCATTCTGAATTGCCAATAGGATTCCTTGGTGTTTTGCCTCAAGTAAAAATATGACTAACACTCTGGTTTATTTATGTAGAGGCAAAAGAGGGAGTCCATCACCCCTCAGCTTTCACCACTCACATTCAAGCCATTTGCTGAAACAACCAAGAAATCCCAAGTGAACGGAAAGTAAAAGAATTTATTAGAAAGCTACTTACCAAGATGTTGGCATGAAGTTTGATGAGAAAATGCTTTCTCTTAAAACTCAACTTGCGGATTTTAGCCCAGTTGAAAGTATTGATCTTTGTATTTCCCTGTAATGACATGCATGGCAGATTTCAAGGTGAATGACAGCACAAGTTGGTTTGGAATACAATGAGAACCCATTAGAAAACATGCTTCATGCCTGGGACCATCCTACCTCTCGTACAGACTGATCCTGTCATACTAGGTAGAAGCTGAATGTCATACTAGGTAGAAGGTAGAATGCCAAGAAGGCATTCCAGGTGGGGCATAGGGCTGCTCTGAAATACAAGCAAGAAGGAGTAGGGCTAGGAAAGTTTTCTAGCCAGGATAGGGAGACCAAGGAGGAAGGGATGACTATAGTAGCTTCTCTAATTCCACCCCCTTTCTATGTTTCCAGATTCAACTGCCACCCCATTTACTTAAACATCTTCCAGGGCCCCTCACTGCATGTATCATCAAGTCTAAATACTTTTGGCTGGGGTATGCTTGCTTCAGCTGTATTGAATATCCATCTGGCCTTCTATCCCACTGATTCTAGAATGCACTCTTCCATCCAATCCTGTATCTTCCCTCCCAGAGGGCTCCTCATTTTCCTTAGCCAGAATCACCTTCCCCATAGTCAAGCTGTCCTGCCAGTCTGGTAGCACCCCTTCTAAAATATTCTGTATAACTATACATTTCTAACTCCTCTGAACTCCTTTGGCTCTCCTGGACTGCCCAAACCATTTATCTTTTTTTGGATGGTTGGTTGGTTGGTTGGTCAGTCGATTGCTTGATATTTGTTTATCACATGGCCCAAAAATCAAAAGTATACAAAAAATATATGCATCGAGAAGTCTCACTCCCACCACTGTCACACCTCTGTCCCTCTGTACCCACGTATCCATTCTCTATAGGAAGCTGCATTTTTTAGTTTGTTATGTATTCTTGTAGTGCAACTTCAGGTAAGTATGACGGATTAGCTTTTGATTACTTACTGAGTGATATTGATCATTATTTCTCTGGTCTCTCCAAATGAATTGCTAGTATCTTAATGACAGGAGCCATAGGTCATGCTTAATGTTAGTTTCTTATTGTGCCATCCTTTACCCTTCTCAGGGTCTTTGTGTGCCATTTGTCTAGAATCCCCTCCCTCACCTGTCAATCCTCTTTGTTTTTTTTTAAGATTTTATTTATTTATTCATGAGAGATGCAGAGAGAGAGGCAGAAACATAGGTGGAGGGAGAAGCAGGCTCCCCACAGAGAACCCAATGTGGGACTCAACCCCAGTACCACGGGATCATGACCTGAGCCAAAGGCAAATGCTCAACTACTGAGCCACCCAGACGTCCCCAACCCTATCTCTTTGATCTGGACAACTTCTGCAGGTCTTGGCTTAATTTTTTTTACGTTTATTTATTTACTTATTTTTAGTAATCTCTACACCCAACATGGGTCTCAAACTCATGACCCTGAGATCAAGAGTAGCAAGCTCTTACTCTGTACAATGAGCCAGCCAGGCACCCCCTTAGCTTAAATGTTAAAGCTCTTTTCTCATGTGTTATCTTAGTACCCCATATACACTACATTTGTTTAAAATGACTTGTTTAATTGGCTGTCTTCCCCCTATTAGAATGCAAGGTCCATGAGGCACCTGGGTGACTCTGCCAGATGAGCAACTGACTCTTGATTTTGGCTGAGGTCATGATCTCAGGGTGCTGGGATTGAGCACCACGTTGGGCTCTACACTCAGCAGGGAGTCTGCTCGAGAATTCTCTCCTCTACCTCTCCATCTGCCTGTCCCCTGCTTGTGTTCTTTTTCTCTCTCTCATTCTCTCTCTTTCTCACACACACACAAATAAATAAATAAATCTTTAAAAAAAGAAAGACTTTGTAGAATACAAGATCCATGAAGTCAGGATCACTCCCATTTCCCTCTGCAGCTCTAGTGTCTGGCACAAAATGGCTGTACAATAACCATACTGATGGGAGGATGAATGAATAGATTACTGCCCAACTCTGTAAATATACTCAAACCCAATGAATTGAACAGTTAAATCCAATGGATTTTATAGTGTGCAAATTATATCTCAGTAAACCTGATGTCATTTTTTATTTTTTTTTAATTTTTATTTATTTATGATAGGCACACAGTGAGAGGGAGAGAGGCAGAGACACAGGCAGAGGGAGAAGCAGGCTCCATGCACCGGGAGCCCGACGTGGGATTCGATCCTGGGTCTCCAGGATCGCGCCCTGGGCCAAAGGCAGGCGCTAAACCGCTGCGCCACCCAGGGATCCCCTGATGTCATTTTTTAAAAAAAGAATAATGGAATACAAAAAAAGTACTCAGTACACAAGTATTCTTTTTTTAAGACTTTATTTATTTATTCATGAGAGACACACACAAGGAGAGAGAGAGAGAGAGGCGCAGAGACACAGGCAGAGAGAAGCAGGCTCCATGCAGGGAGCCCGATGTGGAACTCGATCCCAGGTCTCCTGGACCAAGCCCTGCGCCAAAGGCAGCACTAAACCGCTGAGCCAACGGGCTGCCCGCCCACACAAATATTCTTTTACTGGATTTGGGCTGGGACAAATCAGACCAGCTACACCATTCCACGCTGTCCACAGAAGTACTTACACTGGAAGAGATAACAACTAACACAATGGCCTCACTCCCCTCCCCTTTCCTTCCCCATTTGCTCCCATGCAGTAGGAAATGCCAAGGATCCATCCCAGGTTAGAGTGGAATGAGTCAAATTTCCTCCTAGGTGAACAGATATGCCTGTGACCCATTAGGTCTTTTGTCCACTTGTGTGGCTCTCATGCTACAAAACTTAACAACCAGAAACATAAGAGGGCCTACATTCTTCTAGCCAAGTCTGCACCTGACCTGTTTGTGACTTACTTCAGTGCTCTCACTGGGTCCCTGTGGGTTGTTTCTGGATTGGGACAGGGTGAGTGCATTCTGTGTCACAACCTAAGCTTTTAGGGTGCCCAAATCCATATTCATATTTAGAGTCTAAAAGTTCCAAAGAGCCTCTTGATTTTGTCTCACCACCACACTGGCCCGATCTAATGTGTGAGCTCCTCAGAATCAAAACAGCCAGTCACAGACCACAAATGGAAACAAAGCACATTGAGGGGAGAAGACTAACCCAAGACATTCATGAGCATCCCCTCCTTCTTTTGGTTGACCGAGGGCTGAGGTCACCACAGGAATGGACACCCGAGTCTGAGCTAAGGTCACCCCCAAAGCGACAGGACATTAAAGGAAAGAGTTTTTACCCGTAACACCAGTACTCCCATGTGAGCAACAGCCAGGTGGATCTGCATCCCTTCGCCGTCACTGGCGGGGTGGGGCCTGATGCCATACATATCAAGCTTCCTCGCTATATCCAGTAGCAGAATGTCAGATTCAGCTGGGCTCCTGCCACTGCCAAGGGAAAGAATTAATGAGCCTAATAAATGTAGCAAGAATGACACCTGCACCCAAAGGGCTCAGTGTGTTCCTGAGGCCGAAGCTTCTCTGACTTTAGGACTTGCTTCTAAGAGTCTGTCCCCAGCTTTTGTGTTCCTGCTGGTGGAAGCAGGTGCCAGCTGAAGTACTTACGTGTGCTTCTGATGAAATTGCATGATCTTGCTCTCTAAACAGTCTTGGTTTGGTAAGTACCGGGTCTGTGCCAGATGTTTCTTAGCTGTTTCTTCATGAAAGTCTCCCAGTTCTGCTGCATGAGAGAGAAGTGACATCCACATTAGCACTGAAGAGTTTAGTAATGGAGTGCCCAGCAGACCCCCTGACCTCCCCCAAATGGTCCTTTCTTTGCAGCCAATGTGGCCCTAGGCCCCCCACTCCATGCTTTATGTGGATTTATATTTTAGGATATGGGGGAACTAACTGGATCTTTTTAAAATCAGAAGCAGTAGGTTGTGGAAGGGGTAACTGGGTGATGGGCACTAAGGAGGGCACTTGATGGGATGAGCACAGGGTGTTATACTATATGTTGGCAAATTGAATTTAAATAAAATATTTTTTAAAGACAAAGAAAAAAAAAGAAGCAGTGGGTTGCTATGAAGTCTCAGTATAGTCAATCACAGACACACTGTAGGTCTTAAAGGCTCCAGGATCACAGATGAATGTTTCATTAGTTCTTTCTTCCTCAGCCTGGTTAAGATCTTTTTCTTCTCACCAGTCCCCATTATGGGTTGAAATGGGTGTCCCTCTCCCCTCAGATTCAAACGTAGAAGTCCTAAACCCCATACTTCAGAATGTGACTGTGTTTAGAGGTAGCCCTGTAAAGAAGAGGCTAAGTTAAAATGAGTCAGTAAGGTGAGCCCTAATCCAATCAGACTAGTGTCCTCATAAGAAAAGGAAATTTGATCCTGTGAAGAGACACCAGGAGTGCAGGTACACAGCGGAAAGAACAGGTGAGGATGCATCCCCCCCCGCAAGGGCTCAGCGGTTTAGCACCGCCTTCAGCCCAGGGCCTGATCCTGGAAACCCGGGATCGAGTCCCACGTTCCGGCTCCCTGCATGGAGCCTGCATCCAGAGGGTGACAATCTGCAAGCCAAACAGAGAGGCCTAAGAAGAAAGCAAAGCTGCCAACACTCCAGTCTCGGATTTCTAGCCTCCAGAACTGTGAGAAAATACAATTCTGTACTCTGGGAAATGAGTAAAACCCCAGGTATCCAGAATCCCCAGTAAATGAATCATTCTGGAAATCATTCTGGCTTTTCCAAATTACTGGCAGCTATCCCTGATCATAATCTACTCTTTTCTTGATCTCTCTAGTTTATTGTTATAAACATCTGTCATAACACAATGCCTATAAAGGTGATCAATGTATACAGGACTTATCTACCCCTACAGTTAATGGATTCAAAATGTTTCATCTGAATTACTGTGTCTTCTTTATAATTTTTATGCCTTTTCCCTCTCCTCTCTGTCAGATTGATGTGAATCACTTCCTGGTTACTGACTTGCCCTGAAAAGTTCTCTGCCCCTGGTTCTAATTATGACTTCTAACTGACAACCTAGATATCCAAAACTGTTAGCATTTTATGAATTGTAAGAGTAAATACATTCTCAAAAAAAAGAGTAAATACATTCTCCATGGAATCCTATGACTAAAATACACAGAAAAGGGGGACACTGATGTTGAGTGCTAGAAACTTACTTCCTTTTTACTCTTGATTTTTTATTACATTTTAGACAGGTGACATATTCATGACAGATGATATATATATATTTTAAGATTTTATTTTTTTATTTATTCAGAGAGAGAGAGAGAGAGAGAGGCAGAGACACAGACAGAGGGAGAAGCAGGCTCCATGCAGGGAGCCCGACGCGGGACTCGATCCCCGGTCTCCAGGATCACACCCCAGGCTGCAGGCGGCGCTAAACCTCTGAGCCACCCGGGCTGCCCTGTATATATATATTTTAAAAGTCGCGTCATAATGAAAATCCTCATATAACAAGTTTGGTTTTTTTTTGTTGTTGTTGTTGTTTTTAAAAGACCAAACCAAGGGCATGATTTCCAGGTTGTGAGATCAAGCCCTGCGTCTGGCTCCACACTGGGTGTGGATCCTGCTTAAGATTCTCTCTCTCCCTCTCTCTCTGCTACTCTGAGCCTCCCTCTTTTAAAAAATATAGTAATAAAACTTTTTTTAATCCAACAAACTAGGATTAGAAGGGAACTTCTTCAACCTGATAAAGGTTATTTATGAAAACCCTAGAGCTAACATCATAATCATACTAAATGTTGAGAAACTGAATGCTTTCTCCTATGACCAAAAAGAAGACAAGGACATCTATTCTTGTCACTTCTATCCAACACTGTACTAGTGATTCTAGTCAGTATAATTAATCAACAAGAAAAAAATATCAATAATTTGCCCTGAAATAGAAGAGATAAAACTGTCTTTACTTGCAGTCAACATGGTCATGTGTGTGGAAAATCCTGGGGAATCCACAAAAAACTACTAGAATATAAGGTAGCAAAATAGAAGATTGATATACAAAAAGTACTTGTATTTATATACATGAGCAATGAACAATCCAAGAATGAAACTAAGTTCCATTTACAATAGCATCTAAAAAAATAAAATGCTCAGGAGTAAATTTAACAAAAAGATGTACAAGGCTTGTATAACTGATGATTACAAAACATTGCTGAGAGAAATTTTTAACAGATCTATATAAATGGGGAGACATTTTGGGTTCATGCATTGTAAGACTCAATATCATTAAGATGGTAATTCTGCCAAAATGGATCTATAAATTCCATGCAATTCCCATTGTATTTTTAATAGAAATTGATAGGTGATCTTAAACCTTACATGGAAATGCACAGGATGCAAAATAACCAAAAACAATTTTGAAAAATAACAAAGTTGGAGGATATACACTTCCATATTTCAAAATTTAATACAATGCTATAATAAATCAGATAGTGTAATAATGGCATAAGGATGTATAGATCAATGGAACATAATTAAGAATCAAGAAATAAACCCTTAAATTAATGGTCAATTGGTTTTTCAAAAAGATGCCAAGACAAGTCAATGGGGGAAATGATAGTCTTTTCAAAAAAATAGGAAAAAAGGACAATCATGGACAAAAAAAAAAATGAAGTTGGATCCCTACTTCACAACATATACCACACAGGCAGGCAAAAAAAGACTCCAAACAGGTCATATAACTAAATCTAAGAGGAAAACCTGTTAAAGATCTAGAAGAAAACTTAGGAGAAAATCTTTGTGGCCTTAAGGTTAGGCAAAGAGTTTTTGAATACAACACCAAAAGCATGATCCACTAAAACATATTGAAAAAGGGGAATTCTGCCAAAATTAAAAACTGTTCCACTCCAAAAGCCAGGATTAAGAAACAGAAAGTCAAGCCACCAAGCTGGGGGATAGTTTTCAAGTTACATATCTCATAAATGATTTTTAATCAGAATATATAAAAATCTGGGGTGCCTGACTGGCTCAGTCAGAAGAGCCTGTGACTCTTGATCTTGGGGTCATGAGTGTGAGCCCCATGTAGAGGTTACTTTAAAAAATAAATAATTGAAGTTGGGCAGCCCGGGTGGCTCAACAGTTTAGCGCCACCTTCATCCCAGGGTGTGATCCTGGAGACCCGGGATCAAGTCCCACGTTGGGCACCCTGCATGGAGCCTGCTTCTCCCTTTGCCTGTGTCTCTGCGCCTCTCTCTCTCTCTCTCTGTCTCTAATGAATAAATAAATGAAATCTTTTTAAAAATAAATAAAGTTAAAAAAAGAATATATAAAAATCTCTTAACTGTCAATAAGAAGACAGCAATCCATTTTAAAATGGGCAAAAGATCTGAAAGGCATGTTACCAACAAAAATGTACTGACTGTTAATAAGCAGATGAGAAGGTAATCCACGTCATTAGTCACTAGGAAAATGGTAATAACTGCAATGAGATAGCTCTTCATACCCACTAGAATGTCCACAACCAAAAAAATAGAGAATACCAACTATTGGTGAAGATGTGGAGAAATTGGAAATGTGACACATTTCTGGTTTTATTGTTTTAATTAAGAAAACAGTTTGGCAGCTTCTTAACATTTTCAATGTAAATTCACCTTAAGATGAGGCAATTACTCTCCTAGTAATCTATTCAAGAGATACGAGAACATGTCCAAAGATTCATACATGTATGTTCGTAACATTATTCATATTTGTTAAGCTTGAAACAATCCAAATGTCCACAATCAAGTACATAGATAAACAAATGTGGTATGTCCATAAAATGGAATACTACTCAGCAAAAGAAAGGAACCAACTGCTACCATTCATGCTGGAACATTCATGAATTTCAAAAATACTATGCTGAGTGAAACAAGGCCACAGAAATGCAAAAGACTACATATTCTATTATTCTGGCTAAAATGTTTGGAAAGGGCAAATCTATAGAAACAAAATAATTTAGTAGTTGCTGGGGCTGAGTATGGGAACAGGGAGTGACTGCAAATGTGCATGAGAGGTCTCTTGGCATGATGAGAATGTTCTAAAACTGGACTGTGGTAATGGTTGCACAACTTTGTAAATTTACTAAAAATAGTTGATTTATAGTCTTTAAAAGGGTGAATTTTATGATAAGTATATTATACCTCAATACAGCTGTTTTCAAAAATAAATTAGTGGGGCCCCTAGGTGGCACAGTCAGTTGAGCGTCCAACTCTTGATTTCGGCTCAGGTCATGGTCTCAGGGGTCATGGGATCGAGCCCCACGTCGGGTTCCCTGCTCAGTGGGGAGTCTGCTTGTCCCTCTCCCTCTTCCCCTCCCCACATTTGTGCTCTCTCTCTCTCAAATAAATAAAAAGAATCTTTAAAAAAAAACCTAGATGCACACACACACACCCACCAACTCTTCAATTTATTAAGCACAAAATCCTGACTCGATGTTGACCCTAGGACAACACAAGAACACATAAGACTGTGCTGTTTTTTCACTCCATGCAAGACTGTGACAATCTAGGAAGAGACCTACGAAATGTAAATGAGTAAATATCAGCAGTAAAAGAAGGTAGCAAATTTTACAAGCATCTTAACTATTACCACGTTGGCCCCCAAGTACCATCATCTCTTTCTTCTGCAATAGCTTCTTCTCTGTTCTCCCCACTTCCATCATTCCATCATAAAGTTTTCACCCTAGGTAGCCAATATGATCCTGTTAAAAGCTAATTCAGGGGCACCTGGGTGGCTCAGTCAGTTAAGCAACCGCCTTTGGCTCAGGTCATGATCCCGGGGTCCTGAGATAGAACCCTGTATTGGGCTCCCTGCTCAGTGGGGAGCCTGCTTCTTCCTCTCCCTCTACCCTTCCCCCAGCTTGTGCTCTCTCAGTCTATTTCAAATAAAATCTCTGGGAAAAAATAACTAAATAAAACCTAATTCAGATCATCTCACTCCTCCGCTTAAAATGGATCAGTGGCTTCCCACCTCAGGTAATGTTCTAGGTCTTTAAGATGCTTCTAAGGCCTTCCATAATTACTCTCCCTTCACCCTCAGCTCCAGCCAACTACAGGGCCTGCTTAAATGTTTCTTGAACAGTCCTGGCACACTCCTATCTCAGGGCCTTTGCACAGGATATTCTCTCTGCCTGGAACAACCTTCCACCAGATTTCTGCAAGGCTTGCTGTCTCACCTCCTTCGAGTCTTTGTTCAACTGTCATGTTCACAGTGAAGCCTACTCTGATTACCTCATTGAAAAATTCAGTACCCATCCCCAGGATTCCCCATCTCCCTTCCATATGAGATTTTCTCTGGTGAACTTATCACCTTCTAACATACATTATATGTTTCCTTATTTGGGTTATTGTCTGATTGTCCTCCACTGCCAAAACGTGAGCTCCATGAGAGCAAGGCTCTGTGTCTGTTTAGTTCACTGCCATGGTTTGCCGCAACTATAAGAGCACCTGCCATGTGGTAGGTACCCGATAGTTTTTGTTGAATGAATGACAAAGAAGTTACTAAGAGCATTCATTAAAAAAGACATGTAAGGGAGACTTGGGCGGATGAGGTCAGAATGTGGAGATTCTTGAGTGCCTAGGACATAAACATGGGATGAATGAATAAGTGAAAAAATGAACAAGCAGCCTGGTGATGTTCTACACACTGCCTTAGCATCCAGTGAAATGGATTGTGAGGAGTTGGGCTCACTGAAACTTTTAATTTTTCCCTATGGAAAGAACTTGGATTGACAAAATAGCCTTTAGAAAAGCGGAAGACGGGCACCGAGGTGGGCACTTGACGGGATGAGCACTGTGTGTTATTCTATATGTTGGCAAATTGAACACCAATAAAAAATAAATTTGTAAGTAAAAAAAAAAAAAAGAAAAGAAAAGAAAAAAAAGAAAAAGAAAAGCGGAAGTCCTCTGTGCTATGCCTGAAATGACCACTAGGGAATGCCCAAATCCATAATGCTGAACTATTAAGAATGAAATGGCCTCCCCAACAGCCAGAAAAGAATGTTGGGGAGCCCCAGTCATTAACGGGCTGATAATGAAAAAGGATAAGTCTTCCAACATTGTCTGTCTATCCACCTTACCCCGTGCCCCCCACCAAGCCAAGCACTGAAAGCCCATCAATTCAACTCTTAGTTTTCTGCCACCTCTCCTGAACAGACACTATGCTTGAGATGTCCTCGAGCTGTGTCTCTGCCTATCACTACCTGTCCCATTCCTATGTGCCCTTTTTAGGTCTAGCACAAAAGACACCTCCTCCAGAAGCCTTTCCTGATTACTACTGCTCTCACTGCCCACTGCATTCCTGATATCCTGGGGCTGTCATCACTTGTCCCAGTCAGTAGTCCCTCGGTAAACACTCATTTAGATGCTGTCCCTATCCAAGCACTTCATTCTGGAGTTCTCTGTGAAGTCAGAAATCTACCATCTCTGGCCTGCTGGGAAGGTCAGGGACAGAGGTCAAAACCAAACTTGTAAAACAAGCCAAAAAACGACGTTATAATCCTGCAAAAGTGGTAAAGAACAGCCTATTCTTGGAAGGCCTCTCTAGAAGACAGAGTGAATCCACTGGCCATATAAGATGAAATACTACCTCCAGCTGTCTCGACCCTGGCCTTCGGGGTGCAGGAGAAGCCTGGCCTGCCCGGCTTCACCCCCTCCCAGGCAGGCCCCCACTGTTCCCCCAGGTCTCCTTTTCCCTGCCTTCATTATTCAGCGTCTAACTACTTGGCTGCCAGCAAGTGGGGAACTCTAATAGACGCCTAGGGCCTTTTTCCCTTTCAGCCTCTTTCCACCTGCTGTACTCTGTGTTTTGTTCTCTGGACTCATGATAAAGAGCAACACAAAAATCCCATCAAACATGACAATGTGCTGCAGAAAGCATGTAACAGAAATGCATCCTGGGGCAGACAGAGAGAGTGGAGCTTGCCTGGCAAAATCCATGTTCGGACAGATTAGTCCAACCCAACTCCTGGACAGCAAGCCCCAGGCAGGGTGGCAGGAGGGATGTGGGGGGGAGAGGTTACACCATGATAGAAGAACATCAGCATTTACTTTTAATCTATATAACCACTCAGTAAAAAGGTACTCTTGTTACTATTGTAAAGACTAGGAAACTGGAATGCCTGGGTGGCTCAGTGGTTGAGCATCTGCCTTTGGCTCAGGTTGTGATCCCAGGGTCCTAGGATGAGTCTCACATTGGGCTCTCCACAGGGACCCTGCTTCTCCCTCTGCCTATGTCCCTGCCTCTATCTGTGTCTCTCATGAATAAATAAATAAAACCCTTAACAAAAAGACTAGGAAACTGAGGCACACTGGTAGAGGGGACTTCATATAAGCCTACAAACAGCTAGAACATAGCAGGGACTGGATTGGAATCCAAAGTCACATAACCATAATGAACAACCCCTTTCTACTGGACCATGCCAATTCTACACACCTTACACAGCCTTTTTCTCCTCTGGAAGTCCTAACACATCCTGCTCCTTTGCATGGTCCTCTATCTGGCTGACAGGCCCCAAAGTTGACATTTGCTACTTACATTGTAGGATGTGAGATACCATCAACGCTGTACAGTTCTCACTGCATGGAAGCCTTCCTAGAGCCAAATCCTTCTTTATTTGAAGAGTAAAAAGATACCTGCAAAGAAGTTGGGGAAAAAATCTTGAGAAAGAAACAGGAACAAGCAAGAAGCATTTCCCTTCTCCCAGATCCAAGATGTTTCAAGAAAGAAACAGCACCCCCAATGAGATGACTTTTTGGGATGGTGACTAATGCATAGGCTTTGCTTCAGCCCCAAACTAGCACCAGACCACAGCTCGGCTGATCCAGCATTTGGCAAGCCTCACAGCCATTAGGAATCACCCTGGCTAAATCCTCCTGCCAACTTGAGGGAGTTGGCCAATCATCCTCTGGTGGTTTCTGCCACATAGCTAAGCCACATACCCAGCCCAAGAGAAAGGGAGATACAGCAAAAATGAGCCCGCTGAAGATGCTCTGTTTACCAACTGCTACCAAGCACTCACTATCAAAACAACTTAGGTTGGCGGGACAGGAGCGATCACCCCCATTTTATAATTACTGAAAGGCAGAAGTTGGATGATTTTGACAAGGTCATTTGCCCAAAGATAGTGAAACCATGGCCAGAAGTCAGGTCACCTGCTGAATTTAGGCCTCTTCCTATCCAGAGATGGTGTTGCAGAAATCAAGGAGTTGAGGCCATGCTTCACCCTGACCACCTTCTCTGTATCATCAGAAGCCGGCCCATCACTTGGCACAGAGAAGGTAGAAAATGCCTGTATTCTGAATGGAACGAAGCCAGACTGCCCTTTTGCCCACCAAGGGCTCGTCAGGGACCCAGAAAGTGCAGGTTGGTATCCAGAGCTTGGCCAAAGAGATAGCATTTGTTCTACACTTTCAAGCCCTTATCAAAGGAACATCAACTTTGAAAAGATGCATAAAAGTAAGATTCTATCACTGACTGCTTTCTTCCATGGTCCAAAATTGGTGCCAATATTTTATTTTATACCTTAAAACACTTACTGAGTATCTACCATGGGCATTTCCTAACATAAGATGTGACTTTCTAAATAAAGTTTTATCTGGACTTTTTAATTTAAATCAATTAAGCCTTGAAGGCAATGTGGTAAATCAAAATTAATTGCAGGTGATAGATACAAATCTAGATTAGAAAAAACAGGTAAAGTTAGTAGGTGATCATTCAATTTATAAACTCATTCATCATTAAAGTTAGTAGGTGATCATTCAATTTATAAACTCATTCATCATTAAACTCACATAATCCTTCAAATTATGAGCTCCCCTAATAGGTTAAAAATGACTCAATTAGAAAATTTATATTTGCATGTCACTCTCAGAAACTCGTGGATTGGCCCCAAACAAGGCATCCTTGCGAAGTCAACTATGGTTAAGTATCTTTGACAGACCATTGAGGAAAAAATGAGGTCTAACCTTTGCCATTGCCTGCTTTCAAATATAGATGTAAATGAGAATAATAAGCCTCAATTGCTAAAGGGAAAAAGAATCTCATTTTGCTCCTAGCAAGCAAGAAAGGAAACTTCTTGTCATTTGACACTTTTCTTGCTATTAAGAGGGCAGCTGGCTGCTACAAATACCAAATCCTCACTCTGAACAGCTGATGAATCATTTATCATCACATTGATTTTTCTTTTCTTTTTTTTTTTTTTTTGGCGGCGGGGGTGGGGGAGAAAGTTTATCTCCATTAAAACTGGTCACAATTTGAGAGTCAACTTAGCAAGTGCAAACTGATACAGATACCAAGGTATCGGGTTATCTGGGAAAGTGGCCTACAACTCACAATGTGGAGAGACGGGGTGAGCCAGTGACAGACTTGTGAGAAGTGATGTCTGCCAAGACCCCTCAGCAAACAAGTCCTCCTGTACCAAAGGGGTGAAGAACTGGCCATGAGCCATAGTGCCAGGGGTGGGAGGGGAGTGAGGATGGTGGGGGGAAGTGGGAGAAGTCCCGGCCAAGTCACTTTAGCTCCCAGCTCCCAGGACCCGTTTCCTCCCCTGTGAACCAGGAGGGCTGGGCTAGATGATTGCATATATCTCTTCTAGGGTAAGATTCTAGGGTCTAGCAAGCACAGTTGGGTTTGGAGGAGTGTTAAGTTGACAATGCATTTTTAGAGAAGTAGGTTTACATTGTAATTTTGATGGGCATTGTATATAAGTATAAATATACTTTTTTGAATGTTTTATTAAGAAAACTTGTGACTTTTTAACTTTTTAATTTTTATAAGTGTAAAATATTTTACTTATCTAAAATCATGAATAATGTATCATTATAAATGGTTGTTAAAATCATGAATAATTTATGATGATTAAAGAATCATAATAAAATTATCAATGATTTATATTATACATGATAAATAATTTATTTAAATAATTTTTAGACTATTTTGTACTTTTTAAATTTTTTATAAGTATATGTCATCATTACTCTCTACCTATTGGATGTGTGTGTGCACATGTCCGCACACGCGTATGCACGGGCACATGCACACACATAGTTTTCAATATCCAAGGAAATTAGCTGGTATCACACTTGTGCCATCATGCTGCCCTCCGATTGGAACACAGATGTGATGAAGCCAAGCACTCTTACTGTTGCCGCAATTAATGGCAGAACCCCCAAGTGGGCACCCAGGCTGGCTGCCCTGCTAGAATGCCACCCTTCCTTCTCCCAGAGGTCCCCACCCTTTGGAAGATTAACACTTTGGGGACCAGCCAGGACCGCCTTCTCTCCAGCTCCTCATCATCTGCCAGAGAGTGATTGAGAGCCAAGCTTTCCAGAGAAGACTAGAAGCCCATTCTCTGATAAATTGGAAATAATGATTCTTATGTAATATCATGCAGCAGACACAAAGGGATGTACTCTACCTTGTAAGCTCTTCTCGAAGATGTCCGGGGTCCACTGGGAAAAATTTCACCATAAATTCGAAAACAACGTCCTTAGGATCTTAAAACACAGTATCTCCATAAGTTTTATTTAAATGTCCATCACAACAGTTATAGGTCTTTCACACATACACACAAACACGCACACACACACACACACTTCACCCCTCCTCCTCCCTTCACTCCCCATGTCTCCCTCCCTCAGACTTTTACGTTTCAATTTTTCACATTTCTAACATGGTGGTATTTCTGATTGAGTCTTTATGTGGATAGCAATCAGGAAAGTTCTCCTGCTCCTCTTTCTACCCTCTCTTTCTTTGAGTTTCTTCTTGTAAAGATGTGCCTATTTCTGGGCCCTTCTGTGTCCTCTAAGAAGTGTCCCATTAAAAAAAAATATATATCACTTGCCACTTGGGATTCTTCATTCCTGGCTGAGAGAAGGGCCTGCTTTAGAAACAGGTGACTATCATCTGGCATCAAGTATCTCATTAAGAGAAACTACAAGTGTATAGAAGTGTATGCACTGCCGCTGCTTTGTTGCTTAAAATCTGAGTTAAGAAACTACATCTACTTGCCTTCACTCCTAGTTGCATTTGAAAAGAAAGACAGTATTTGCATCAAAAGCAAACACATACATACACCATTAGTACCATTCGTTCAGCAAATATTTGTCAAGTGTCTATTAGCGGCCAAGCATTGTACTAGGCAGGTAGGTACCAGGAATGAAAAGAAAATTAAGCACTCTTAGCCTGGTAGAAGAGGCAGCACCACGGGCGGTTGCAAGCACTAAGTACCAGCGAAGTACAAGAGGGAGGAGAGAGGGCTCCAGTTAGATTGGGATGTCAGGTAAACAATAATAACACAGGACATACTTACACAAAGAAATGATTCTCTATCTGAAATTCCAATATAGGTGGACATCTCTTCTTTTCACAGAGAACACCACACCTGAGGTGAGTTTTGCCATAGTCAGGAGAGGTAGGAATACCAAGGGGTCAGTGGCAGAAGTAAAGCTAGAGAGGCAGGTGTGCTTTGCCAATCATGCCAATCATATTTCATTCTAAGGGCCATAAGGAGCCATGGAAGCATTTTAAGCCAGAGCGTGATGTGGTTGCCTTTCCATTTTCAATAGTTCCCTTTGGAAGTTGGGTAGATGATGGATGGGGGGGGGCGGTATCAGTTAGGAAGCCTTTGGAATAATGTGACAGATGATTATAATGCGGTGGGAGCAGACAGAACCTGCCATGGAGAGGGCAGGTGAGTGAAGAGACATCACAAGACAGTGAAATCCCCCTGCCTCAGAAACACCTGTGGACACTCCCCAACCCAAGGAGGCCCAGGAATCTGCATTTGAACAAGTGATCCTAATACCCACTGAAATTTTGAAACTACCGCACAAAGTGGTGGAATACAGGGTGTGTGGGGGGGTAGATTTTGTACGTAGTAGGCACTCAAATGTGAAATGAAACAAATGCACAATGTCTGTGCCATGTTAAAAAGAAAACATCTTCAGGCAGAAGGGAATGGCATTGAATATTGACATTGCAAGTGACAGAGTCAGGCTGCCTAAAATAAGCCAGTTAGGTATTAAGATCATTTCCAGTTAAGGAACACCTGGGTGGCTCAGTCGGTTCAGCGTCTGCCTTCAGCTCAGGTCATGATCCCAGGGTTCCAGTTCCCTGTTCAGTGGGAAGTCTGCTTGTCCCTCTTCCTCTGCTGCTCTCTCTGCTTGTAAGCTCACTCTCTCTCAAATAAATAAAGTCTTTTTAAAAAGATTATGTTGCATTAAAAGCCATCGAAACCCAGTCAATTCGGGAAATGCTCTTTACCTCTGCTTTAACTGGCTAAATTTACATTGGAAAGGAGAGCCTGTACCAGGAAGAAGGCTATCACCTTAGATAACTACATTATAATATGAACAAGGTGTGGTAGACATGGAGGTACCTCCCAAGGCCTGTTTGATCAAAGTCCTCTATGTCCCATTGTTTCTCAATGGCCCAGCAAACATTTGTTTACCAAACATTTACTTTTTCTTCTTCCTGTGAATTGCATTCTTTCCCTTTGAAGCCCCAGACCCTTATTCCCTTCTCCTTCATTCAGGATAACACACATAGCCCATTTTGACCGACTGTCTTTGTAATTTCCATGTCTGTGTGGCCTCCCCACACGTTTGAGATTAAATCTGAATATCCCCTGTTCATCTGTCTCATGTCATTTTGATTCTTAGTCCGGCTAGAAGGGCCTTGAAGGGCAGAGGAAATTCTTCCTTCCCCAAGAACAGCGAGGATGCTCAAAGATTTGCAGTTTTCCAGTGTGAGCCAATCCGCAGAGTGCTGTCAATATCTGTATTCTTCAAATCTACCTGAACATCCAGCAGCATGACTTTTTTTCATCTTGGACAAAATTAAAATGATTTTTTAATTGCTAGACTCACTGGGCATATTAAGGATTAAAATAATGCATCGAAGCCCTTCTCTCTCCTTATATTTGGTAAGGAATTGTGTGGCACTGAAATCTTTTCAAGTTGTAACTGAGAATGAGATCCCTGAAGTGTTTTTCCATACTTACTTTTTACTTGCTTTGTAATGGGCTTCAGTAGTTCCAACCAGACCTGTGATAACATTAATGAAAAAAATTGATGAAATGTGGCATTGAGTGAAGCTTATTTTTTTGGTAACAGATAAAAGTCAACATAAAATAAACAAACACCAAGACAGCTTACACTCCTTCTAAAGATAGAAACAGCCGTGTCAGAGACGATGTACCTCACCACACTCCATCAGCCCCCTTGTATTTGCCTGCTGACAGTGAATGTTGTTGATCTATAAACTCTTTGTTGTTGACATTTGAATTGCTGCTACCCTGCCTAAGCAGGGTGACAAAGGTGTCACATACAAGACTCATTAGTTGCTAATGAAGGCATTTGGCTCTGCATTTGAATCCTACAGCCCCCAAATGCCAGCTTAATAGATATAAGGAGCCTTTCAGGGAAGGAGCTGGGATAACAGATATGCCAAGGCAGGACATAGCAGGAAGAACATAGAGAATGTTGGGACCTGAGAGAGGGGCAATAAGAGTCCCCTCACACTGGTGAGGTCAGGAATCTTCATTGTGGAGGCTGAGGTCCAGTCTCTGGAAAGCCGGAATAAATAAAGCTTAGGTTGCTATTTCACGGGGTGACAAAAGAGAAGCACAGGGTAGCAGAGTCTGTTTGGTAAACTGAGGTGACTTTAAATAGGCAAGGAGGGGGAAGAAAAAATCGTTATTAAATCCAAGTATGTTGCAAGGGTTTAAGTGCTTTTTCACTTTTCAATCAAGTTTGAGCCCTACATACCTAGCCACAAACTGCACTTGAGAAGCAATTCTAGACACAAAGAACCCTATAATGAAACCAACTTACATTGTTTCCAGAATGGCTACAGAACTCTAATCCGAAATACTCCTTTTCAGCAAGATTTAGGTGGCCACAACTCAGGTTAAACAGCGCCTTCCCGGATGATTTTTGCTAAATGAAACAGAGAGATCACAGCACAGTTTGCGTTCCCAACCCTGATACAGTTACTGTGGTGCAGAAGAAAGGGTAGGAGCGACCCAACTCTGAAAACACAGTTTCCATGGTCAGCACCGTTTAGAGGTCCCGCATCCTCTCAAAGAATGATGTTTTACAGATAAATACATACATATACCTGTAGATTGTCTTAGGGCCCCTTCCCCCACCAAAAAGCCTCAGACTCATGACAAACCCTCTTGGAAAAAAGACAGCCTTGCACTTAAACTATGGTGAGATCGGCAAATCTACCTTTTCAATGGAATTCTTTAATCAAGTCATCCCATGGGCAATTTGAATGATTTCCCCCAAATTGACTAGTTTAATCAAGATGCAAATCTGACCTGCTTAAAAATCCTTCTGTGGCTCCCCTCAGGATAAAGTCTATACTCACAATGGCAATCTTGACGCTTGGCTCTCTTCCTGCCTGCCTCCAGCCTCTTCTCTTGTGCTTCCCCCTTGCTGGTAGTTTCCTTTCTAATAATTGCAGCCCACTTGCAGTTCCCCACACAGGTCAAGGAGCGTCATACCTCATGCTTCTGCTCCTGTCATTCCTTCTCCAAAGGCAGCCCTTCCCACCTTTCTTTGGTTTGGCTTACTCCTGCTCAGCTCAGACACAGTCTGCCCTGGAGAGCACTCCCCCATCCCAATCAGCAACAGGTGAAGCCAAGGGCAACCTCCATGCTCCCAAGCACCCTCACTTACCTCCAACAAGGCACGCCTAACCTGGGATGGCTGCCTTCCCCATTAGACTGAGTCCCTTCAGAGCAGGAGTCTTGCTTCATTTTCCTTGTCACTCACCACGTCTAACTCAGAGCCTGGCACCTTGGAGGTCCCCCTTGGAGGGACTCTTGCATGTCTGTTGCTCTGACATGAAATTGACCAAATTACTCCGATGAGCTCCTGGAGTAGCCTTCGCCTGGCAGCTTTTCCCACCAAATCTGTGCACAGCATCATTCCTTCGCAGAAGGCCACACATAATTTTTTTTTCCTAAAGCCCACCTACATGGTGAGCACAAAACAGGCCCCTTACCAGGCTCGTCCGAGAACAGGAGCTTTGCAGATCTTTCAGGAACATCTCTTTGAGCCGAGCGCAGCTGGGGCTGATCTGCAGCCGCCACCATGGCTGAACCCGAGGGTGGCTGTGGCAGGGAGGACAGTGATGGGGAAATTGAGCCCTGGCTGATAGGCACAAAGACACGCTGCCACCGAAAACCCCTAGTTAACACCAGGTCACGAGGTCCCTATGGCGTGGCACAGGAAGCCGGGCGAGGGGAAATGTAGTTGGAAATCACCGACCCATAGTCTAAGGCAACAACCTTGATAGGTCAGAGTGCCCAGCCACCCTCCTCCCACCCTCTACCCTCTCCCTCAAGGCAAAGCCATGTAGAAGGGGGGGCACATCTGGTATTTAATAGCTTCCAGGAAGGTGGCCTACCCCACCCCCTTCCCCCAGTGACCAAAAATCCTCCCCTCTACCCTGCACTTCTCTCCACTTGTCTACATAGTCCAAAGCTCCACTGACTGGAGATGCAGCTGAGGTGAGCAGAGTCCTATTTTAAAATGCAAAGAGGCTGCCAGCGGTGATACCTACTGCATCCCCAGCACCTGGAGACAGCTGGGGAGGAGGGGTTTGGATATTATGTGGGAGATCACATTGGAGCTGTGGTCCTGGAGAAGAGATTCATCTCACACAGAGGGGTGCAAGGGTGTGAAGGGCATTGGGGGGCAGTGGAGGAGGGGGCGTTTGGGAAGGAGGAGGGAAGGGGGAGTTTTTGCCTATGTGGCAAACTAGCCTAGGGCAAGTGCTGACACAGACCATTCCAGACAGATGAAATCGCTCCTATTTTTAAAGTCCTCCAGACAAGGAGCTGCCATGGGATTTTTATTATGAGAAAAAAAAAGAATTTCTAAAGAGAGATACGACAGCAATACTTTTTCCGACACCAGAGAAACATTTCAGTCATGAGGACGAAATTCCGTCATAGACTCCAGTTTCTTTGCAAATAATTTAAGAAACTCAAGATTTTCCTTTCCCCTCCTCATTTTTTGATTATTTTTTTCCATCAGAGTATTTAATCCCCCCCCAACGCTGCCACATTCCATGTGTTTGTGTATTTTAAAGGTTTCTGCAGTCATAAAGAATATATAGCCATTCTTGTAAGGATTCCAATCAAGGCTTCCTTCTTGCTCCCTTCTGTAAGACCCCATACCATGTTTATAAGAATAATCTCTGATTCTTCTATCCCTGCACACATTGCCAACTGGCTCTGAAAAGCCCTTGGCATTTATGCATTTAGAGGTCAGGCACTCACGTGGCTGGGGCTCTCCACCCCCATCTGTGGAGAGGTATTTCCCTTCAGCCCTCCATAATGTACTTTGAAATTGGCCAGCCTTGTGGAACGTGTTGCATAATAGGTAAGGTCTTGGTTCTGTCTCAGTGTGCAGGCTTTCATGGTTTTTAACCATTTTAATCCAATTCCACAATTTTTAGGTTATGAGTATTTTTCTTATACTATGTCTTTACAAACAATTTTTCTTTTTTTAAGATTTTATTTATTTATTCATGAGAGACACACAGAGAGAGGCAGAGACACAGGCAGAGAGAGAAGCTGGCTCCTCACAGGGAGCCCAATGCAGGACTCTACCCATGGAACGGGATCACGCCCTGAGCCAAAGGCAGACGCTCAACCGCTGAGCCACCCAGACGTCCCACAAACAACTTTTCTAAAGTTCTTTTTTTTTTCCTTTCTGGAATTTTGAGTCTCTTTTCCATTGCAAGTTCTTGTTTGAGCTAACACTATCAACATTCTAATCAAGCCTTTTAGTGGATCTAAATTCTTTACTACCAGTTCTCCCACTCAAGGAATTGGAACTCCATACAATCCTTAATCTTGTTTTACCTTCTGCCTTGTATTACAGTAGAACAGCGCCTTAAAATACACACACACACACACACACACACACAGTTGACCCTGAGCAACATGGGTTTGACAGCACATTTTGGGGCTTCCCCTCTTACTGAGTTTAATTCAGAACTTTTTCAGAACTTATATTTATAATCTCTAATTTACAAACTGTATTTTAATCATGACATTGATTTTTGGAGGCTCCAAACTCCTCTTCTCATGGGAACAACAAATATTCAAGGTGGTTACCTATACATAACAATCTACCACAGATTCTAGGCAGCTAGAGCTTTCATATAATAATTTGTTAAATCAAACCTGAGTTGTAATCCTGCTCTACCCACTTACTAACTAGATGAATTGGGGAAAATCTTTTAGCTCACAGATTTACCTGCCTTTACCAGGTACCTGAAGACAGAGACCATGTGTTTGAATACCTGGCAGTATGTACAGTGCCTGATAGAGTGGACATTCAATAAATGTTTGCTGAATAAATAGATGGATGGAGCCAATTAACTTGATTCCTGTGCATTAGTAACACAGTTCTCAAAGGAGGAAGAACAAATTAGTCACTACGTGACCTAAGGGCAAATTACTGAGTCTTTCTGAGCCTAGGTTTACTCATCTGTAAAATGAAGATAATATTATAGTATTATCTCACAGAGTTGTTGTGAGAATGAAACAAGATAATTCACATCAAAGCCTTGTACAGTGCCTAGCACATCATATGACTTAAGCAATGCACATATATAGATAAATGTGTAGAAGAGTCTGGAAAGATACACAGCAAATGTTAATAGCATTCTCCCTGGAGGGAGGATAGAATAAAGGGAACTTTAACTTTTAACTTTGTGAAAATTAAGACAGTAGAAACTCTCTTAACCAAATTCTACACAATGATGCAGAGACAATGTTTTACATTCCCTCTTTATTGTTTAAAGTTTGTTTTTTTTTTAAATTTATTTATTATTTATGATAGTCACAGAGGGGGGGGGGCAGAGACACAGGCAGAGGGAGAAGCAGGCTCCATGCACCGGGAGCCCGATATGGGATTCGATCCCAGGTCTCCAGGATCGCGCCCTGAGCCAAAGGCAGGCGCCAAACTGCTGCGCCACCCAGGGATCCCCTAAAGTTTGTTTTTAAGTAATCTCTACACCCAACATGGGGCTTGAACCCACAATCCTGAGATCAAGAGTCACATGCTTCACCAACTGAGCCAGCCAGATGCCCCTACATTCCCTCTTTAAAACATTGGCAGGGGCCTATGTCATGATGAAAGCTCATGAAGGCTACTCTAATGGTTGTGTCCTTCTACATCCATAAATTAAGTTCCATGCTCAATAATATTTTCCTGAACATTTTTTGATAATTCTATTTGTTATTGTAATTATGCAATTAAATTGTATGTACCCCAAAGAATCATGAACACTAAAAGCAAGAATTGTTTCCATGAAAACTAAGTTCATCACTTTGCAAAAACTCAGTAAGAGGGGAATCCCCAAAAATGGGCTGTCAAATTAGTTTTGGATATGACGGCAGCAAAACACAGGGGGAGAAAAATCCGGAAGGATTCTATACTCAAATTGTTTGCAATCACCCACATTCTTTATCCACATTAAGTAAGCAAATGCTGAAAATCATAGAGGATGCATTATGGATATGGTTTATAGAAGAAAGATAAAAGGAATCAGAAGTCCTTACTCCAAAAAGCTTTGATCCTATAGCAAAAGATTGGCATATGAATAACAATGTATATGTTTTATGTCAAAATTAGAAGTTTAAGGGGCACCTAGCTGGCTCACTCGGTAGAGCATGCAACTCTTCATCTCAGGGTTGTGGGTTCGAGCCGCACATTAGATGTAGAGATTACTTTAAAAAATTAAATCTCAAAAAAATAGAAGTTTAAGATGTCTGTGTGTGTACTTATTATGATTTTCTCTTTTAACAAATGTTATCAATTAACTGACCAACAACCACCTTTGACCATATTAGATGAAGGAGATTCTAATGTATTTACATCTTTCGTGTACTTTAAAAAAATATAGACTATGTCATTAAGGTTTTGGAAAAGGATGAACTGGAACCAAATACAGCATATTATTAACAATAGCATAATTGATTATTTTCTCTTTTTCCTTATACTTGTTATATTTTTGAAAAAAATGCAATAGACACTATAAAATCTAAAAGCAAAGAGGCCATACAAAAAATCTTATAGATGCTTTTCCTGTTTTCAGTGCTGATTCCCACATTCAAAATATTTCTCATGCTCCCCGCAGGAAATTGTTCTTGAAGTCAGAGATGGTTATCACTCATTCTCCAGACTTTATGGTTATATCTTATTTTTTTATCCTCAGATGTGACTGGATTAGCTCTGGCTGCCATAACAAAACAAAACCCAGCCATGAACTGGGTGCCTTAAACAACAAACATTTCTTTCTCATTTAGTTCTGAAAGCTGGAAGTTTGAGATCAGGGTACCAGCATATTTGGGTCCTGTGAGACCCCCTCTTCCTGGCTCCCTTCTTGCTGTGTCCTCACCTAGAGGAAAAATAACTCTCTCTTCTTCTAAGGCCACCAGACCTATTGGATCCAGACTCCACCATAATGAGCCAATTGAACCTTAATTACTTCCTCAAAGCCCTATCTCCAAACACAATCTCAGTAGTCACATTGGAGGTTAGAGACTTGACGGATAAATCTGGGTGGGGCTTGATTCGGTCTACAGCGTTGACCCAGCTAGATGGCTCACTTTAGTTACCATATCTGCTCTTTATGACTTTGGCTCTTTCCAAACATTAAACCCACTCTGAAATAATGAAGATTTGTGAGGCATTTTGGAAAGAATGTGCCCTGTTACAGAAGGCCAGAATAGAGTTCCAAGACTGTGCTGAGTACCTGTAAATAAATATGAGGAGACAGCACATCATGGTGGCTAAGAATGTGGGCCCTGGAGCTGGACGCACCTGGCTCTAGTTCTGCCCTCTCCCTGCTAGAGGGGTGATCTTGGGCAGACTGTTTCATCTCTCTGAGTTTCAGTTTCCTTAATCATAAAGTAGGATTGTCAGAAGCCAAACACAAAAGGCCATATGATTCCATTTATAGGCAATGTCCAGAACAGGTAAATCCATAGAGACTGGGGGCAGGGGTTTCTTTTGGGAAGGATGGAA